CTCCCTATCCCCCCCCCCCCCAATGGCTAGCAATCCAAAACAGTCAAGTGGAGCCTGAGTGGTGGGTGTTGCCTTCTGACACACTTCCGGTGATGTCAGGGGGTGTGGCATATGCAAATAAGTTATGCTAATGAGTTATGCTAATAGGCTCCTGCACCTCTTTTTCTACGAGATGACACCGTATGGAGGCAAGGGCCACAAAGGGATCTGCAGACACCTCTGCTGAGAAAGTTTTAAGTGGGCTTCCGAAAGACTGCTCCATTCCAGAGGGCAACGTTCCCTCTAAGCTGAGTGAGTGTGAGCCAGCTCACAGTTTTTTTAGGCTCCAGTTCACACATTTTTAAGGAGGGCTCCAGAGCAAACTAATTTATGCAGCAGCCAGATCACCTGCTCACAACTTGAATGCCAGTAGCTCACAAAGTAGAAATTTTGCTCACAAGACTCCACAGCTTAGAGGGAGCATTGCTTGCGGGTGATCGCTGAAACAATTTTGAGGCTTCTCAACTCTCCGCAAGCCAAAGAGGACTTCTTTTTGTTGACAGTGGTGCTCCAAAGACCCCCCCCCCAGTCAGTAGAACATCAGTGGTCATGGAAACAGTGGGATTTTTTCAGATGGAGAAACTGACTGCTTTAACAGATTGCTGAATTTGTATGTTTTTCTTCAGCCCTGTTCTGTATCTATTTAGTGACACCTTCCTTAATATGTTTATTTTATTCCTTTTATTGAATCAAAACATTTATTAGCCACCTTTCTTCCTTGGGGAGCTCGAGGTGGCTTACAGCATGGGTGAAATAGACAAAATAAAATACATAAGAAGCATTAAAAAAAACAACCCCAAACTTTAAAAACCATCAGGAGTGCTAGTAAACTTCACCACATGCGGTCCTAAATCAGGGAAAGAAAGAAAGAAAGAAAAAGTCTTGCATCAGTGAATGGTTGATTGGTTTACTTGCTCCAAGTTTGTTACATTGTTCTGTACTTGGTAGAAGTCAGTCAATATACAATTGTTTCAGTTTAGACAGTTTCAGAGGGGAGCCGTGGTGCCGGATTTGAATGCAGGAGCACCGTAGAGACCAACGGGGTTTTCGGGATATGAGCTCTTGGATATCGTAACTCTGCATGCAAGAGCTGGGTTGGAAAAGGGTTAGGAGAATTCTCCCACTCAGGTACACGTGGCTGTTGGCCACACCCACTCTTCGGTTAGACGCTGAGCCTCATTGGCCGTTGCTCGCCTTCTGCTTTTTCATCTGATATGGGACCTCTCTTTCTTCTCTCTCTTACCAGGGCTTGGAGCTGTAGCAGAGGTCATTTCGGGGGGAATCGTGGGGGATCGCAGTACTCCCGGGTGAGGTACGGGGGGGGCACATGACGAAGCCCCGCCCCCTGCTTCCGGCCGCCCCGCTTCCGGCCCTCATTCAGCCAGGAGGAGGCAGGAGAAGAGGGAGGGTAAGTTGCTTCCTCCCTGCCTCTCCCCACCCCTGCCTGCCTGGGGCCAGGGAGGGCCTTCGCAGGGCTTCCTTGCA